GACGGACCCTCGCCGGAAAGTCTATTGTTTTACCTATGTAGAAGAACTTTTGAAACGGACTCCAAATAAGGTAGACCACGAACCCAGACTCCAGAAGGTAGTCGGAGGGCGGCCACGTGGACCCCGGCAGGGAAGATGCCAAATAACGGAGTTTGCTGAAGTACCGGGTGGTGGAGGCCATGAGGAAGTCGGACGTGATAGAGAGGGTGATTGAATGAAGGGCAAATATGCACTTCCAATCCAAAACTTGGGCAGCATAGTGCTGCTCTAGAGCACGGCGGACCAATGCCAGTGTGGATAGGAGGCAAAACCGGATAGCAGAGCAACGCGAAACACGCGGCATCCCGTCGACATGCGTATCCCAAATCCCACCACATGCGCCGTCCCCTTGGGCCCGCATCCGGGCCTGTAGTCAAATCTCGTGGTCGGCTGCTCGCGCCTTGACGGCGGCCAGAAGTTGCGCGATATCTCCGGCTTTGGTGTCGTCAAACTTCAAGCCCAATTGGTCGACCTTCTCTTTGAACACTTTCAGCGCATTAGCCGGCACCTTCTTCTTACCTCCCTTGCCCTTGCCCTTCTGGCCGGTGATCGCGTCCAAAGCCTTCCGGTGCGCCTGGAACTTATTACGCAATGCCGGTGGGTCGTCTTCACCCGGGATTTTTTCATCGAGCGCCCGCTCTCTGCTTTGGTGTAGACGTTGTACCTGGAACGCGTTGAGGTCATCGAGCGTGAACTTGAGGGCCTGCTCGCTGGAGACCCCGGTGCTTGGGGCGAGGGCCAATATCGCCCTGGATGAAGCCGGTTTGAATTCCGGGATCGCCGCGTCAACCTCCACATGGGCTTGACCAGGGTCGGCGATGGTAGCGGCCACCCTGCGCATCATCGCCAGGGGCGACTCGTCCTGGGCCCCGTATTCCGCCCGCTGGCACGGGCTATTGGCTTGAATCCAAAGGAGGAATGTCGAGAAGTTGAAAGTATAAGAATCCAAGGGCACGTAGGGGATAAGCTTCTGCAGATTCCTGCGGGCCTGCGACCTCATGATGCAAGGGCAGAAGTCCTCGGTGTTCTGGTTAATGTCCTTCCTCGCTTTCGCCGTGCAGAGGGCCGTGCAACGACGAAGCATTTCAGCATTGCACTTTTTGCGGGCTTCCATGAACTCCTCCGAGCCGAAGGGCAGGCCGGGGTGAAAGTTCGGAGGGGGGCCGTTCGCAATTCCCACGATCCTGGCCCCGACGCGGTCGTCGTCGAAGACGTGGTGCTTAATGTCTGCATCAGACAACTGGTCTACGATGTTCTTGGCCTTCTCGAGCTGACTGACCGGACGTTCTGGGCGCGGGCTGGCTGCCCGGGGCCGCGCGGCCGAGTCCCGCGGACCACCCTGCCGTGCCGAGGACGGAGCGCCAGAGCGCGGACGAGAGGACGGATCGACCGAGTGTGGGCGAGGTGGTGGTTGCGGGAGATCATGGCGCTGATGCCGCCTCGGCGTGAGGAGGGGCGGCAAGTGCGCTGCGGAGGGCGATTTTGGTGTGGTTGCTGGACTCGCCGCCGACGGACAATCACGAGCAAGATGGCCACGGATACCGCATTGCGGGCACAACGGGCCTTCTGGAATCCCATGGTGGCTCCTGGAGCGGCCGCCGGCCCTATGATGGGCAGGGGTCCGCTCCATGTCCCGAGCCCTATGGTGGCTCGTGCCCGTGTCCCGCGTCCGTGCCCTATGGTGGCCGCGGCTTCTGCTGCGACGCTCCCGTGGACCCTCATAACGAACATCGTCACGAAGACCTCCCCTAGAACGTTGCTGCTCCCCGCCGCCTGCCATGGCAAGTAGGCCGACCGAGAATCGGTTGCGCCCGCCGGGACCTACAGAGTGGTCGCAAATTACCTGGAGGGAGCCTGAAAGGGCAGCAAAAAGCAAAGAAGGCACCAAAACAACCCCTCCCGCCCTCCCCCTCCCAAGTTCCATGAACTCAAGGAGGTCAATGTGGGGGCGCTGGACGGCCGGCAGGGGAATCAAGTCCCGTTCGCGGCCCACACTGGAGAGAGGTTGAAGTAACAAATGAAAAGGTCCATGAGTGTTGCAATCAAGTGCCAAAGGCATGCGGAAGGCAAATGGTGCGCTTCCTTTGGTTGTGGACGGGCGTGTGGTGCCCATCCGAGAGGCCGATGGGTGCCTCATCCCAAGAAGAAGCCCATGGCGGCCACGACTTGGGTGCGGGATGCCATATGGTGGCCCCCCTGTGCCCACCCCGTCCCGCTCACAGGGTCTTCACATCCCCCGTGTGGTGGTGGGATGGGCGAGCGGTCCGCCTCCCCCCGGGCCGCGCGTGCTGCCCGAGGTTCGGGGGGATTTGAATTGAAGGCTATGAAGAATCCCGTTCCCTCCCTCCCCCTTCCCGTGGGGCGCAAAATCCCGAAGAAGCCCCCCGCGGAAGACCCCCCCCCAGGGGGACGAAAAGGGTTGACTTCAACCACAGGGGGGTCACCTGTGACAATTATTCCACGGGCAGACGGCTGTATCACCGCAGGCCGGAAAACCCAAATGCGCCGAACCAGCGCGCCACGGACATATCCGCCAATGCCTAGGGAAATCCATGCCCAAGTAACCTGGTGGCAGTTCGTGGCACACTCGTCACCGATAGAACATCGCGAGAGAAAGCGGAGAGCGGGAAGGAGGGAACGGAGGCGGGAGGGGAAAAGGGCAGGGAGGAGGGGGGGGAGGGGAGGAAAGAAGACGAAGACGAAGAGGGAGAGCATGCGCGGAGTAGGCAACAATTACGTACCTATGTCCAGAACCGCAGCGACACAAAGTACGGGCGCTAATCCCGGCACAACCCCTCAGATATCCACATCTCCAGCGCAAGCAATGGGTAGCCAGCGCCCTCATGCAGGTGACGCTTGAAGGACGCAACGACGCCCTCCACGGAGTCCAGCGGGCGTGTGTAAGCACGTGCCCTGGAGACCGCCCCGAGCACGAGCCCGCGCTTGATGGAGTTGGGGGCGTAGCTATAGAAGGGCATGCAACCCGCGCCTGCCCCCAACGCCTTCGTGGACGGGCGGGCGCAGATCGCGCCGTCGAGCTGGGGCAACAGGTCAACCCCCACAAACGTGAAGCTAGTGTCGGCTTCCAGGGGAAGCGGGTAACGCAGCCAGGCAGAGCCCTCCAGGACAACGGAACTGTACTCGATCTCCCCGGAAGACAGAGACGGCGGCCCCTTCCACAGCATGGTGTAATCGTCCATGTAACGCATCTCTAAAATCATGACGGTGGCGCCATTGAACGACCGGGGGTGTGCGCGACCTCGGGCGCCGAGTGGAGGGAGTGCTGGGCCATGCAGTGCGTAGTAATACTGCATGTCCAAAAACGTGAGGGCCATTTTGGTCAGCGCACTGCCCAAAGGTGAGCCCATCGCTAGTCCTTCGACTTCTTTGCCGACGAGAGTACCAAGGAAGAAAAAACCCGTTTCGAGGTGCCCGCTATGTTGGCTCTCCCAGCAGCCTTTGAAAGTGGCGACAGTTTCGCAGATCGCAACCACCCCAGGGGTGGCGAGGTCTATTTTGGATCTGCGGCGCGTGCCCGCAACGCTGGACCCCCAGCAGCCCTCGAGCGCGGAGACACTTTCGCAGATCGCAGTGCCCAAGGCGCTGGCCCCCCAGAAGACTTCGAAAATGGCAATGGTTTCGCAGATCGCAGCCCCCCACGGGGTGGTCAGGTCTCGTGTGAATTGCGGCGAGTGCCCACTGGGCTGGCCCTCTCCCAGTAGGCGCGCCAGGTGGGAGGCACGAGGCCCTGTAAGTCAACCCGTGCTTCGCGGCACGGTGGGGTATATAGCGGCTGGGCCTTGCAGCTGTTGCCTTCAAATCAGGTAGGATTCCCTTCTGCGGAGAGCTACGTTGCAGAATTGGGCCCCATCGCCTTACAATTGCATTGAGGGACGGGGGGGGGCTTGGCAGGGCGATCCGTTGGAGGATTCGGATGGTGGTGCGGGGCGGGTAGACGGCATTCATGCGAGCGCTCGGTTGCTTCTTTGGCAACCCGTCGTGGACCGAGCACCTTGATGTTTTGGCTCGATGCAGGTTGCTCGCCGCCCTGCTTGGATCCATTCTGCAGGCACAACACCGCGGCTCCAAAACGATCAGGAAGGTTTTTTTTGCAGCCTCTTCGAGACCATCTTGGGCCCCTCTACCGCGGCGTGGGAGCGCTCCCAGAGGGCTTCCATAGCGGTGAGAGTGAAGTCACGCGAGAGCGCGCGCCTTACCCATCACTGCTCTCGAGGGCCCTCTGGAGCCCTATTCGGGAGCCAGATGGCTTCCATAGCGGTGAGAGTGAAGTCACGCGAGAGCGCGCGCGTGGCTTACCCATCATTGCTCTCGAGGGCCCTCTAGAGCCCTCTTCGGGAGCTGTTCCGAGATCCTCTTAGGACCCTTCAGCGCGGCCTCGGAGGCTGAGGGCTCACCAAGGGCCCCAAGTGTGCAGCAGTGCAACTTAAGTCATGCGAGAGAGCGCTCGCGTGACGATGGCGACGATGATGTTAATGACTATGACGGTGATACTGATGCTGCTGATAACGATGATGATGATGCTGATGTCGATGATGATGATGATGAAGCTGATGATGATGCTGGTGATGATGATGATGACGATGACGATGACGATGACGATGCCGATGATGTCATTGCTGATGATGATGCTGATGCTGCTGATGATGATGGTGCTGCTGATGATGATGCTGGTCCGCATGATGGTGATGTCGATGATGACAATCACGATGATGATGATTATGGGGGTGCGTGCACATGAATGATGTAAAATAGCGGGCCCTGTCGTGGACCCCAACCCTCTTGGTGCGTGGGCGCGTGGATAGTCGCGCTTCGCCCCGCGGGGGTCCCTGCTCCGTCGTGCTTGCGCTGTTTGGGAAATTGCACTGCGGTGCCGAACAGCTTCTCTGTAGCTGCTCCTTTTTGGCTGAGTGGTTTCTCTTCGACCTGCGGCCTCGAGCTGCATGCGGCCCGGGTACCTCCCGCAGATCCTCAGTGGCCCGATAGCCGCGGGGCTTCTCGCGCTGAGCACGCGGAGGCAGCCCTGCCCCGCTCCTCTGGGGCCGCCGAGCTGCCCAGAGACGTGCGCGGAAGCACCGCCCTGCGTGTGCCCAGGGGCGCCGGCGTGCGTGTGCCCGGAGCCTGCGGCCTGCCCGCTGACGAAGCTCGGCTGGGAGGAGGTGCTGATTCGGTACGATGGGGGCGACGCTTACCACGAGCGGGTGGCCCCGTGGCCGCAGACGCACGCCATCTGGGTCATCCTGACGCCAGAATTTGACATGTGTTCGGAGATGATAGACGGCAGCGAGAGCGTCGACGGCGTGGTACGGATCGTCGGCCTGCGCTCATGCGGGCGTCTTCCCCGGCTCGACAAGCCCGCCTATAGGTTCAAGCAGGCGCTCGACCTGGACACCCTGAAGGGGTACGCCCGCGAGGGCCGACCGTCCGCCGCCCGCCCGGCCCTGCAGGACGGTGCCGCGGCGGGTGACCCGCCGATCGAGGTCGCGGACGTGGTGATGCCCAATCGCGAGGTGGTGCCGCTGGCCTCCTGTTCGGCGGGCGCTCCCTGCCTCGCCGCCCCCCCTTCCGCCGCGGCTCAGCGGCGGCGGCGGGTGGGGCCGACGACGGGCCCCCGGGCGACGAGGCTGCCGGCTCCGACGCGGGCGCGGCCCCTGCGCTGGCGGCCGTCGGCGACGACGCCAGCCCAGCGCATCCCCAGGCGGGGCCGCTGGACATGCCGCGTGGCCACGCGTGGGTGCTTATGGAGGGCGGCCGCGCTGACAACCTCGGCGACGAGCTGGTGCTGGGACCAGGCGGCCTCAGGCTGTCGGACTACGACGCGATGATCCTCCGTCGGGGGCAGTGCCGCCGGCCCGAGCTCAGCCCCCCCATGGAGGGGGCGAGTTCGTGCGAGCCCGCCGAGAGGAGCTGGCGGGTCAGCTGAGGCCAGCGGGGGCAGCTCCACTGGGTCCTCCCCTGGGACCGCCGCCTGGGCCGCCGGCCAAGGCGCCCGAGGGTGCGGGCTCCGCCGGTGGCACGGCCGCGCCGCCTCCAGTGGCAAAGGACGCTCGCGCGCGGTGGAGCGACTACGATGAGCAGGGCGTGAGGTACACGCCATACCGTAGGGCAGTGCAGGAGAGCCTCAACGTGCCTGACCAGCATTGGCCCCTCGAGGGCCCCTCGACGGACTTGAAGGTGATGAAGTACATCGAGAGGGCGGGTGGTGACCCGCGTCCGTGGCTGCAGCTGTGGGCTCTTGCAAAGCAGGTGGACGCGAGTGATCAGGTGATGCTCGAGCCGAACTGTCTCGTGGGTATGATGTTCTACGCCCCCTCCTTCGACCAGCTGAGGGCCCCCGCGCTCGCCAGTTCCGAGATGTTGGCGCGACGGTTCAAGACCATCCTAGATGCGCACAGGATCCCGGGGCGAGCCCCGAGCTGGCAGATGGGCAGCTTCCATGGTGGAGTGACCGCGGCGGCTGATGCCATCGTGCCCGAGCTGCGGCAGTACGGCGCGAGGCGGGTGAAGGAGGAGACCGACGCAGAGACGGGGGCCCAGCGGGCCCGCGACCTCCCTGGAGGTGGCGGCGGAGCCGGCGGTGACGACGCGCTCGAGGGCACTGGCGGCGAGGGGCCAAGGGGCCGAGGACGAGGACGTGGTGACGGCGGTCGCGGGCGTGGCAGGGGCGGATTGCCCAGGGCCGGGAGCCCCGCGGCCGCCGAGAAATCATGAGCGAGGAGTCGAGGAGATCGCCGAGGGGAGTGGGCCCCCTCTCGGCGCGCAGCTGACTTGGCCCGGTGCTGGGCGCCTTCCAGCCTCTCGCGGAGAACGCCATCTGTTCCCTTTGCCGCGGCTGAAGGAGCCACATGCAGCGCGTGGAGGCGGTCGTCTTAGCCGCGGGCTGCGAGGCCGCTATCTGCACATCCGACTGATCAACAGGGCTATCGACGCCCTGAACTGGTTGGTGAAGGCGGCCGGCTCGCCTGCAGTTGGCAGTGGCGATGACGCGGACATCCGCAGCGAAGTGACTGCGCGCATCGATGAACTGGTACGAGCCCAGGAGCCGGTGCCTGACGCGCCGTCGCCGAGAGCGGCCTATCTAGAGCTGCTCCGAGGTCGCGGGTCCTACGAGGAGCCGGGCCAGCCGAACATAGCTCCCTTCCAGCTCGGGCTCGTGTCACTGCCGGAGAGCGCCCAGGACGCCCCGCGCCTGGAGCGGCTTCTCGACGCAGAGGGCCGACGTTTTCTGGAGGGTTGTGGAGAGCGGATGCTACGAAGTGTCCCAGATTTTCAACGCCTCCGACGGAGCGATCCAGTGCGGCCTCACTTGGACCCAGCGTTCACAAAGAGTAGGCGGCTATTGGTTCGATTCATGAAGAGGCTGCATTCCAGTGGCATGCTACGATGCACGTCGGAGCTTGTTGAATTTGTCGGAGCTTTTTTCGTCTGGAAGAAGGGGGGACAGAAGATGCGGATGATTACAGATGCACGCCCTACCAACCAACGGCTACTGCCTCCACCTCGAGTGGACCTGCTGACGGCGGAGGGCCCCTCGCGCCTCGAGGTCGCCGTGGACGGCGACCCGTGCCTGCTGAAGGACTCGAGCTGGGGCATCCTGCGGGCGCTCCGCCTGTGCCTCGGCGTCGGCGACGTGGAGAACTGCTTTCACAGGATGGTGATGCCGCCCTGGATGAGCCCCCTTTTCGCTTTCCCCGCCCTGACTGTTAGCGAGCTCCGCCTGGACTCAGTGGAGACGGTGGAGGGCCGCGTGGCAAGCGGCGATGATGTGGTGTACCCCTGCTGCCGAGCCCTGCCTATGGGATGTTCGTGGTCTTTGTACTTCTGCCAGAACGCCAACACGAACCTGACGAGGCAGTGCGACCTGCTGTGGGAGGCTCGGCTCGCGACCGACCGCGGCGAGCCCATGGTGTTCAGAGTGGGCGGTGCTCGCGAGCAGGACCTCTGGCACTACGTGTGCGTGGACAACCTGGGCGTGCTGGGGCAGGACGCGAGCGCAGTCAAGAGGGCGCTGGACGAGAAGGTGGCGGCCTTCAACAAGATGAAGCTCGACATCCATGAGGTGGAGTTCTTCGAGAGGAAGGGGTCGGCTCTCGGCGTCGTCGTGGACTGTGAGCGCCTCTGTACCTCCATCACCAGCAAGCGGCGCTGCCGCCTGGAGAGGGCTCTGGCCTACGCGTTGCAGCGGGGCAGACTCTCGGGCCAGGATTTGGAGTGCCTGCTGGGCCACTGCACGTACGCGGGCCTGGTGAGACGAGAGGTGCTCTGCGTCTTCTCTGCCTGCTACGCCTTCGTGCAGGCCAACTACTGGGGGCGGCAGGTGATGTGGGCGTCCGTCCGCGAGGAGCTCAGCTGCTTCCGGGGCCTCCTCGTCTTCCTCAGCAGCGACTGGGCGCTGCCCTGGAACCGCTGTGTCACGGCGTCGGACGCGTCCGAGAGCGGCTTCCGCTATGGTGGACGTTGGGGAAGTCGCTCGGGTCGGGCGCGTGGTCGAGCGGAGCCGCTTCCGCCTCGACCTGGAGCTGGCGCCACGGCATCGTGCTACGCGGCATGCGGGCTTCGTCGATGACGACGGCCCCGGTCCTTGGCGCCCCTCGGCGCCCGAGGAGGCATCGGACGGCGCCTGGGCCATCGACGAGAGTTTCGAGGAAGTGCCGGCGGGGTGGCTGGACCAGGGGCGCTGGGCCGTCTGCCGCAGCGGGACCTGGGATAGGGCTGAGGGCATCGCCATTTTGGAAGCCCGCGCAGTCCTGGCCTCGGTGCGCCGCCTCGCCCAGTCGCGGTGGGGCCACGACATCAGGCACGTGCATCTTCGCGACAACATGGGAGTCGTGCTGTCGATCTGTCGGTCTCGATCAAAAGAGTTCTCGATGTTGGCAGTCATCAGACGCATCAATGCGTACCTCCTAGCTCGCAACATCCGTCTCATCGTCCGCTGGATCCCGAGTGAGCTCAACGGGGCGGCGGACGAGGCCTCTCGTATTTTTGATGATAACGCTTCCTGCTCATTGGCCTGGTGCATCCCGTCTTCATATATCTCGGCCAGACACCCAGGACCTCAAGGAGCCCCATGGGACCCATGTCGTCAGCAAGCAAACGTCGGAGCCTCTTTATATTCATCATGAGCAAGAATGTGAACACGAGCATCTGGGTAACAGTCATCATGAAGTACAAGAAGACAGCCAACATCATTACGGTCATTCAGTAAAGCCACACAACGTTAGCGATATAGACGTTCGTGAACATCGTGAATTACATCATGAACACCATGAATTACATCAGCAGCCAGCCTACTCCAGCAGCCAAGCTTACACAGCGGAGCAGCAGCCAAGCCCGAACATCACGAGCTACATCAGCAGCCAACCTATTCCAGCTAATCCTGAACAAGGCTCTGGGCCGTCGGTCGCCCCCATGGCTCGAAGCAGCGAAGCACGCCCCTGCCGCGCGGGAGAGCCGAGCCCTGTCGACCCCCGCCCATGCGTCAGGGACGCGGGCCCGCGGCAGCAGCGCCCCAGGACTCACGCCCGCGGCGGCGCCCCCGCGCCTTTCGAGGGCTCGCGGACTGGCAGCCGCCCCGAGGCAGGTGTGCCACGCCCCGGCCCGGCCGCGGCGGGAGCGCGCCTTGAGCCTCCGGCCTGCAGCCGGCCTCGCCCCTCTGCCAGCGGGTCGCCAGGGCGTTGCGACTGCCAGGACGCTGGAGCAGATGACGGCGGCCATGACCGACTCCACGAGCGGCGACTTCGCCGAGCCGCCCGATCGTCGTCATCGGGAGCTCTCGCCCTCGTCGAACACTGGCATCACATCCGTCAGCGAGGGCGTCGGCGCCGAGCGCCATCGGACGCTGCTGGACCGGTCCAAGTCTCTCCTCCGCGAGCACCTCGAGGAGGCCATGGAGGCGCAGAGCGACGGGCTGACGTGGCTGGAGAAGCGGGCTGTGACAAGGCCCGTGTACACAGAGTGCAGGCTGGAGGCGAACAAATTCAAGCAGTCCGTCGAGTCGAAGGGGAAGGACGTCGACAACATCGGGGTCGGCGTGCTGGACGGCCTTTTCGCCGCATACTCCGGGAAGACCTTCTTCGCCGGCGTGGAGGCCTCGAGGGGGGCCAAGACGCTGGCGGGCTGGCTCCACCTCCACCCGGGCTACAACCGCCTGGGCTCCAGGCGGCTGCCCCGGGCCTGGCGGGCCCTCCGAGGCTGGTGCAGGTTGTGCCCCGGCCGCTCGCGGAGCCCCGAGGCCCTAGGCAGGTGGTTGCAGCTCATGAACGCCCTGGGGACGGCTGGGCGTCGCGTCAGGACGCTGTTCGTGCTGATCATGCTGAGCGCCTACCTGGGGCCGGGACAGCTGCTGGGCATGCACAACTCAGGGCTGACGCCGCCTGCGCCCAAGGTGACGTCCCACTGGTCGCTGCGGGTTCACCCCGACGAGACGGCGAGCAAATGCCAGATGGGCGACGCCAATGTATCCATCTTCCTGGACTCGAGCTCGGCGACGTGGATCGGCCTGGCCAGGGGAAAACTGAAGGAGATCGGGGTGCCCAGGTTCGCGCCGCATCAAGCCCGCCATTCGGGCCCGTTCATCGACGCGGCCCGGCACCTGAGGACCCTGGCCGACATCAAGAAGAGAGGTCAGTGGTGCGGCGACAAGAGCGCCCTGCGTTACGTACGACACGCGCGTCTCGCCAGCGGATTCCGCCAGCACCCGATCGAGGTACAGACTTACGCCTCCGAGTGCGAGCGACATGCCGAGGCGATCGCCCTCCGCGGACTGGTCGCCCCGCTGCCGATGAAGGGCGGCCGCTCGTGAG